CCTCACAGGGGGGTCTGCCCTGAGCGCTCCCCAGGAGGGCAGCTGACTCCCTGCCTCAGCCACATGCTTCCTTCAGCCTGGATTTTTTTGTTTAGACTCAGATTCTGGAAACTAAGGCCAAACAAAATCACCCTGGTTTTTTCTGCTCACAAACTAATGATGTTTTTTGCTTTTTCGGAAAGTTGAAAAAAATCAAAAGGAGAATAATAATTCATGATGCATGAAAATTACATGAAATTCAAATTTCAGGGCCCATAAATACAGGTTTACGTATTGGCACACAGCCAGGCCCATTCATTTCGGTACCTGCAGGTTGCTGCTTTTACTCAACAATGGCAGGGTGGAATATTTGCGACAAAGACCATCAGGCACCGCAGCTGAAAATATTTATTATCTGGCCTTTTACAGAAAAAGTTTCCTGACACCTGCCTTAGACCACTTAGGTAATAGCCATTGGGCAGGCCGATGATTCCCCCTTCTCAGGCTTAAGTGCTGGTAAAGACTGGAAACGTGGCCATATGCACACAGGTAAATCAGCCTGGGTGTGGGCGGCTCCCGTTTTGTAGCAATGAAAAGACGTCAATGCACAATACTAAAGGACCCCTTTCTGTTCCTGCAAATCGAGCTAGAGGAAAAATAATAAAAACACAAGCAAAAACCAAGAGAATGTAAGGACACTAAGGTACATTAAAGGCACTATGAACCGGTTCATCTCTTTTTGCAAACAACCCGGCCTAATTATCAGTCATAAAAGTGTTCATACACTTTGACCTAATAGTCTGACTCCTGGAAATCTATCCTAAGGAAACAATTAAAAGAACAAAAACAGTGTCAGGATGTTGGCATCAGCGTTTTCCTAACAAAATGCCAGAAGCAACCCGAATATGTAACCATTGAAAATGAACTACTAACATCTATGCCCAAGTAAGAGATATGAACACTTGATGCATGAAAAAATTAAACTGAGAGACTAAGCATGCTACATAGTTCAGAAGACCATGAATATGCAATGAATCACAGGAAGGGTGAGATAGCCAGTTTAGAAAAATATCTTATTCCTAAGGACACTTGAACCAGCTTCAATTCCACACAGTCATTACCCCTTTTAGGAGAAAAAGGCTTTGCAGACAAAAGCAGCACAAACACGGAACGTAGGGCAGGGTGGGTCTTTGGGACACATTTCTCACAGAGCAAATAATGACTTAGCAGGACTTTCATCCAAATCGATTTGACCTAAAATCTCCACTCCAGAAATCGCAAATTGAATTCTTCAAGTTGTATATTACATAGAGACAGTTTTTTGTATCTCAATCATATGTCCAAAAAGTGGTTAAAAATTAAAAGAAAATCAGGGGCTTCCCTGGAGGCCTAGGAGTTGAGACTCAGTGCTACCACCTCGACTGCCTGAGTTCAATCCTCAACCAGGGAGCTGATCCACAATGGCACAGCAGACCTCTCTTGTCTCCCCAGATGCTCCCCCCAGCAGTATATTTCAGTAGATCTGTCTGTTCAGCACCCCACTCTGTCTAGTGAATCCTCTCAACCCCCTCACCTCTGGCCTGCACCTCAGATCTTCTATGCATAAATAAATAAAATGTTAAAAAAGAAAATGAAACACATAGGTTTCATAACTCTTAAGGAACTAACAGGTGACTAAGGAAAAAAAGAGAATTGTTCTTGAAGAAGATAAAAATCAGAATCATTCTAGTAATTCATCCATTGTAGCTATACTTTTAGGCTTTGGTCTTACTTCAAAGTATTCTCTTTTACTAAAAAATCATAAATAAATAAATCCTAGGAAAGAAAAGTATCCATGGGGGGGGGGCGAATGCAAGCTCCTACCAAAGAAATATGCCAACTAAGAAAAAACCCACAAAATACCATGGTGCTATTTGCTTTTATATTTTTATGACACTCAGTAGAGCCCTGCAAGTGATCATAATCTTATCTCTTATCTCAGCTCTGGCCTTTTTGGGACAGTGTGGAAGATCTGATACAGGTGGGAAGGCAAACCTTTATGCTTCCTGGGCATCACAGGGTCACACACTCACATGGCTTTTACAATCTATGCAGCACAATTTAAATTTAACACAAGGCTGGGAACAACTCTTTTTTAAAACCCAAAAGTCCATAAACTGATGAAGGTATATCTGTGCGATGGAATATTATTCAGCCATAAAAAGGAATGAAGTACTGAGACTTGCTATAAAATGGATGAACCTTGAAAGCATGCTGTTAATCAAAGAAGTCAAACACAAAGTGCTATATAAAATTCCATTATAAATTATCCAAATTTGGAAAATTTATGGAAACAAAAAATAGATTATTTGTTGCTAAGCCTGGAGGTAGGGCATGAACACTAAAGGGAACAGGATCTCTTTTTTAAAATTTATGTATTTATGCATACAGAACTGGGGTACAAGCCAGATGTGTAGGGGCGGTGAGAGGATTCATCAGAGACAGAGTGGGGAGAAGAACAGGCCAACTGATGAAGTACACTGCTGAGGGGAGCAGCAGGTGGGTCAGGAGAGGTCTGCTGCACCATGTGGGTCACCTCCAGGGTGAGGATACAACTCATGGTGAAGTGACTTTAACTTCTTAATGCTGTGCTATAACCCCCTGGGCTAGCAGGGAGGGCCCAACGATCTTTTTTTTTTTTTTTTTTTAAAGATTTATTTATTTGTGCATACAGAACTGGGGTACAGACCAGAGATGCGGAGGGTGAGAGGATTCACCAGAGACAGAGTGGGGAACAGAACAGGCAGATCAATGAAGTACACTGCTGAGGGGAGCAGCAGGCGGGTCAGGAGAGGTCTGCCACGCCATGTGGATCTCCTCCGGGGCAGGCGGGGATCGAACTCATGCGGAAGTGGCTTAAGCTTCTCAGTGCAGTGCTTGAACCCGCTGCGCCACCAGGGAGGGCTCCCAACGATCTCTTTTTAAGGAGATAAAAATTACCAAAATTGGGCCCTCCAATTTTCTGTAACGGATAAGGACACAGCACTGCAAGCTAGCCGTAGACGCTTCCATTCTAGTTGGATCCTCGGTCCCAGAGATGATCCACATGGTGTGGCAGACCTCTCCTGACCCATCTACTGCTCCCCTCAGCAGTGTACTTTGTCGATCTGCCTGTTCTGCTCCCACTCTGTCTCTGGTGGGTCCTCTTACCGCCCCTGCACCTCTAGCTTGTACCCCAGTTCTGTATGCATAAATAAATAAATCTTTTTAAAAATGATCAAAATTGACTGTGGTAATAGTTGCACAGCCCTATGAATATAATAAAAACCAGTGAATTGTGTATTTCTAACAAATTAATTGTATGGTGTGGAAAGTGTAACTCAATAAAACAATTTACAATTTTTTCAAGATAGGTGAAAGATACTAATCAAACAACGAACACTGGTGTTATGTTTATGATTAAGAATCGTCAACATCATTTTTGTGTTTACTATAAAGAAAACAAATTTTAAACCAGGCTTCTTTCCATTAAGATAGATCCAATCTTTAAACATATTGAACACAATGCCCTTTTTAAAAAATCTGGTATGGTTTTCAATGCATCTTCTATAGCAGAGAAAATTTTAAAACATTCCATTTCTCTCTCACCATCTGTTTTCACTTAGGCAATTGTTTGAACCACGTTTCAAAGTATTTGAAAACATCTAAAAGCCAAAGAGTAGCTAATAAGTATAAAGAGAAAATAATTCTTATATTCCCAAAGAAAAAAAGTCACTTGGCGAATAATGGCTTCTTATCCGGAGGAAGCAGAGAAAGGTGTATGTCTGGAAACCTTTCCATTTTAAACTCTTATTCTTGCCAGGAAACTTTCTGATTCTATTCTTTGAAGCTGCTTATCGTGTTTAGAGGAGAAACTCACAGTTCTGGTTTTCTTCTACTTTAAGAAGGCATTTTTCTAAAGTGTTCTAACCTCACAGGAACGATGTGGACACCTGCCACCCGTGCAATGCTGGGTCTACTGCCTCGAACTGCCCTCTTAGCACCTCGTCGCCCTCTACCACACTTCCTGTTGGTTTGGAGGCTCCAAGTAGGGCTGGTATCTGCACCATTCACTCCTGTATCTGCAGAATCTAACACATTTGGCTCGGAGCAGGCACTCTAGAACTGTTTATTATGTTGAATTAAAGAATTTGGTGTTCTTACATGGTTATTTCCATGAAACATGTTACTTTGGGAGGGAGGTTGCCACAGACGTGAGAACCTTATTAGGAGTCGGAAAATCAGAGAAGGACAGCTGGCAAGCCACATTATGATTTCCTCTCCCCAAGCTGGAGCTTCTGGGAGACCAGGGAAACAGTCTGAGAGACCTAACTGCCCTTGGCTTCCTCCACAAGAAGTTCATAAATTAGTCACTAGAACCAGTGCAACACTTAAACAGGGAGCTGGCCCCAACGTAGTGAAGAGGAGAGTAGATTCAAAAGCACTGAGCTGGGCCTCCCTGGTGGAGCAAGGGGTTAAAGTGCAGCTCTAAGAACCTACTGGCAGCCACTATATCACGAGTTCGATCCTCGGCCAAGGAGTGACGCACATGGCACAATAGACCTCTCCTGTCTCCCCGCTTCTCCCCTCAGCAGTATATTTCAGTAGAATTGCCTGTCTTGCTCCCCACTCTGTCTCTGGTGAATACTCTCACCACCACCACCATGCCTCTGGCCTGTACCCCAGTTCTTGTATGCATAAATAAATAAATCTTTAAAAATAAATAAAGCACTGAGGTGGAATCGGGGCTCTCTTTCCCAGTTCAAGGACATCGCAGGGCCCTTGGTTATTCACAAAGCAGCTCTCTGGGCAGGGTGCACAAAGATTAAATGAGAAGGGGCATTCGCATGTGTACTATCACCCCTCCCAAGGAGACAAATGAGACCGGTGAGAGACAGAGCTTCTAGAAGGGACGGGGATGGTGGAAGAGCAGGATGCACCTCCATCAGACGCTGCATGCCAAAAACCAAGGCCTTGGAAAACAAATGATCTGAGAAACTTACTTAGTATTGAATTCTCAGTCTTGAAAACGGTTCTTCTTATTCCCAGCCTCATTGTTCCTCCCAAGTTGCCAGGGTGGTGTTCAGGCATATCAATTACCTTGGAAAACAAAACAAGTCTGGTCTTGCCATTTTGTAAAAATGTGATTTCCCAAATTTCAAGCTTTCTTTTTAGAGGAATGATCAGCTGGGCAAGGAAGCTCCCAAAACAAGAAGACAGGATCAGTCCTTCCAATTTTCCTCCTCAAATATCACCATGCTTTCTCCACTCCTGCTAGTATGTTCTTTTTTTGTCTCTATTTCTCATCATTCATTCAAATCACCTGTAAAAAATTCATCAGAAGCAGAAGGAGCAGCTTTATGACCTTCTTCCTGTCATTACTCACCCTGTCCATGCAGGCAATGTTCACACTTCACGTTCTGGGTTTCTGGAGCTTCCCACATTGGAATGCATTGTTCCCCGATGGTAACAACCCCCTCCCACTGCTCACTCCATTCCCTAAAGGTCTTCCAGAAGCAAGTCTGTCAAGCCTGGCAGAGACGCACAGACATGCCTCACTTTATCATGCTTTGCCCAACTGCATTTCACAGATATTGCACTTTTCACAAATGGAAGATTTGGGGTCACCCTGCATCAAGCACGTCTCTGGCTGCCATTTTTCCACAGCATGGGCTTACTTTGTGTCTCTGGGTCACACTGAATTAAATTAAGTACATATTTTTTAGACATAAAGCAATTGGACACTTAACAGACTAGAGTCTGATGCAAAAGTGACTATCCCACACACTGCAAAACCAAATCTCCACGTGACTCACTTTATTTCAGCATTTGCTATGTTGCAGGAGATCTGGAAGAGAACCTGAAATATCTGAGGCATGGCTGCGGCCCAAAAATACTTGTAGAGAATCATAAGAATTCCTTTCTTGAAAGAAAAAAAGTAGTATCTATTCCAGCACATTCTGTAGGTTAGAAGCCTAAATGCCACCCTCTCCCCTCCGCGCCTATCTACCCTGTCCAGTTCTGTCAGGTCACCCCCTCCAGCCTTCCCATGCACAGCTCCCGCCTCCACCTGAACCTCAACCCCTCACCCAGGCCACAGCCAGACTTTCCTCACAGGCTGCCCGACACCCCCAGGGCCCGAGGCCACCCTGCAGGCACAGGCAGAGTGGCCACGTGCTTGAAATCATTGACTTCTGGGTACTGGCCCAGCGTAGCCCTCTAGCCTCACCTCCCATGACTCCCTGTGCACCCTGTGCTCTGTCCACTGAGACCATCTTCAGGCCCTCAAGTGCACCTTCCTCCCTCCTACACAGGGATTCAGGATGTCCTATTCCCTCTCCAGAACATCTTCTTCTACTCCCCTCTCTCTTAAATGAAACCACGCTCCACCTTGAGGCCTTAACTCAACAAACACATCCATTATGAACTTCTAAGGAGCTGACAAACCCAGCGCCACGGCCTTGTGTGGTCCCCCTGCCCTGCTGTCACTGGGCTCCCCTGTTTGTGTCCAGGGTTTGTTAGACTAGGTGACAGAGCTGGAGCAGCTCTCAGTCAGCACAGTACCCCAAGCCCTTTACAGATGAGCAACTAGTGCATGGCACCAACTGAATGAACGCACAAGTGATTGAATGAACACATGAGTGATCGAATGAATGCACGAGTAATCGAATTACCTCAGACTTGATTACCTCAAATTCATCTTGACGAATAATTCACAGACGTTCAGAATCATGTGATTTTGATGAAAAGCCCATTCTCGCTAGGCATTCGCCTGTTTCCTCATCTTTTCACGACCTCATGGTTTCGTTTCATCTTTCTTGTTTAAGTTGTTAGAACAGACTACAGGAAAGATAACCTGCTACAATGGAATTGTTCAAGCTTCCTGCTCAGAAAACCTTTCGGTTCTTCCCCCTCAAAACCTAACTGCCACATATTGCTTTGTAGAAATTCTTGACAACTGTAATTTCCTGAGGTAAAAATTTTCCAAGAACTTGTCTGATCTTATCAACGCCCCAGAACTTTCTAAGCCATCTGAACCCTGTGCCCCAAGTACACGCTAAGAGTCACTGAGGGGAAGGGGTGGAGAATGAACTTGATTACCCCCTTGTTGGATGGAGCGCTCAGTTCTGAAGTGCCTTGGCCTTGGTGTCTCTTTCCTATCTTCTCTGGTTCGCTAATTGTAGTAGATAGTATGACTGGAGAGGGGTGAGAGAGGGCATTAGCATCCAGTTCACAAACATGAGCTGCTTGTAAGTGCCCAGCCCCTCAGTATTTTCTAGGAAAGAGCAGATAAGACTGCCCAACACCACACAGGATCTACGAAGTCCTAAGTTTATTAACAGACTCAATTTCCACGTAAGCCATCCAGAAAGACCACAACGTTGAGGTCGTCCTGGCTTCTTCAAATGGCGCTGTGATCTTCCACTCCACCCAGACATACATCAATGAATTCTACCCAGGAAGAGTCTCTTAATGGAGTTTGTTCAGTTATTGCCTTTGGTATTCAACACATGTTTTGCTATAAAGCACTGAGAATAGAGCCAAATAGCCCAAACGAAAACAGGAACCCTGCCTTACTGCCTACATTGGAACAAACCTGGCAAACACAAGCCCAGAGAAGAATTCCAAAATTAAAGTGGGGATGCCTCCAGCAACACGGGAGCTCTGCAAATTCCTGACAGAGCCCCAGGAGAGGCCCACTTAAAAACCTGGAATAAATAGCAGGAGAAACAGCTGCAAGAGTCAAGGCTATTAGAGCAGGGGTGAGGGTTACTGAATTTTTTCATGAAAGACCTTTTGCAACTGCTGACTTTTAAAACTTCATTCATATTGTCTGTGACTGGGAAGCTGGGAGATCCCCACCGGTCCAAGAATATTGGCTCTCGTCCCTCCCATTCCTTCTTCCCTCCCTTGAAGCCTTTCAATAAAGTGGCTTGAACCAAAAAAAAAAAAAAGCAACTTTGTGCACAGTATTTCTTTAATGAAAATACAAATTTAAGGCCCAAGTGGTGAAATGTGAATTTAGACCTTACATGAGAGTATCAGTTCATATATCCTGGCTGCTTTCAGAGGCCGCAAACACAACCTTCTTGGGCCTCCCAGGTGGCACAGGGGTTGGGGACACAGTGCAGCAACTGCCACATAAGTTCAATCCCTAGCCAAGAAGTTAACCCACGGGACGCAGCAGACCTCTCCTGTCTCCCCGTTGCTCCCCTCAGCAATGTACTTCATCAATCTGCTTGTTCTGCTCCCCACTCTGTCTCTGATGAATCCTCCTCACACACACACACACACCTCTGGCCTGTGCCCCAGCTCTTGTATACATAAATAAGTAAATCTTTAAAACAAAATATAACCTTCTCCTGGGATGACAGCCTGGAAAGGGGCGGTAAGGGTATTCCTCCAGGGTGACCCTCTGGTTCCAACATGCGGCAAAGACAAAGAAACTGTTAGAGGAGGGGACATATGTGGAAGTGTTTTTTCAACTCCGAATGATACCCTGAAAGTCAGAAAAGGAGAAAAGCAGAGCCTGGACAAATAGGACTTGCCCTCTGGGATCTATCTGGCTTGGGAGGGCTGGCTCCAGGATGCCCAGTACACACTCACTAAGGCAGGCACAAGCTGGCAGCACCCAGTACCCTGGAAGGGGTGGCTAGGAAGGCAGAAAGAACATGTCTCCAGCAGCCACCTTGCAGGGTTACCAGGTGATCCTCCAGGCTCTAAAAATGACAGCAGATTGTCTTCTGGATTACAAGCTCCCTGAATCAGCAACAAAATTAAGAACAGGGCCTCCCGTAGAGCACAAGGGGTTAAGCACAGCACTGTGAAGCTCCCCACAGCTGCTTCAGCACAAGTTCGATCCCAGGCCAGGGGGTGACCCACATTGCTTGGCAGACTTCTCCTGTCTCACCCGCTGCTTCCCTCAGCAGTGGATTTCAGTAGATCTGCCTGTTCTGCTCTTCACTCTGTCTCTAGGGAATCCTTTCAACTCCCACAGTTCTGGCCTACACCCCAGCTTTTATACGCATAAATAAATCTTTAGAAAATAATTAAGGATAATGTTTTTGTTCCCAGCAGTCTTTCCACAAAAAAAGGCTGAGACAGGAGGTCATCACAGGTTCAGAAGACATCTTGGATCACCACTGGGTCGTTAAAGGAAAGGACCTCAAAAATGCTTTTCTTCTGGCCCTCCCTGGTGGCGCAGCGGGTTAAAGCACAGCACTGAGAATCTGAAGCCACTTCCGCATGAGTTCGATTCCCGCCTGCCGCCTGCCCCGGAGGAGACCACATGGCGAGCCAGACCTCTCCTGACCCGCCCGCTGCTCCCCTCAGCAGTGTACTTCGTCAATCTGCCTGTTCTGCTCCCCACTCTGTCTCTGGTGAAGCCTCTCACCGTCCCTGAGCCTCTGGCCTGTACCCCAGTTCTGTATGAATAAATAAAAAAAAAAATGCTTTTCTTCTGAACCCAGCATTTCCAATACACCTGAGATTTTTTTGCATCTCAAGGGGGAATGTCCCTTCCATTGCAAAAGGGTCACCTCTGCCCACTCTGACTCTGCTGCAATACTGGCTGAGGCCTGACAGGCCTGTCATATCTTGGAACTGAGCCATCTAGCATAAGAAAAATAAAAAAGGATCAATAAGTAACGAATATTGGTGGTGATAAAGTTCCAAGAGATGTAAAAGCACCACTAATTAACCTTTACCGAAGTCTGCAGACCATGATAAAAGTGTAATGGGTTCAAGACGTCATGATTCTTGGTGCCTTAAACAATAAAGTCTAGGGAAGCGCTGTCCCCTTATCAAAGATGAGGTTCCTAAGTGGCAGTGCATGTGGGAGAAGTCTTCCCACCTACAAGGCAGAGTCCGTGAAAGGCTAACTTCCCCGTGTCCCTTGCCTTTGAACGTTTCACCTGGGGACACACGAGGACCTCACTTCCCAGCAGATGTTTCCACACACAGCTCTCTTAGGTTTCCTAACATATTCCTGAGGTAAACTTTGCAAGGACTTCCCAAGGACATTCCTTTCCTCCTGTTCAACAGGTTTTTCTGTTCATTTGTCTTTTTTTATTATTATTATTTATGCGTATAAGAACCAG